GGGGGGGGGGGGGTCACCACATGGAGGCTCAGTCATCCCCCAGGAGTTGATAAGGACACTAAGAAGAACCTGTTTCTTCAAGCCAGGCAGAGAACCAAAGAGGAGCAAAGAACAAACAGCCTCAGCATCGATGCCACACAGACATGGACATGCAGGGCAGGAAAGTGGGGAAGAGAGGGAGAGGAGAGCATGCACACAGGCAGGCACACACGTGTACACTCAAAGACAGACACATACATGTGCACACACGCACACACACATACATACACATGCACACACAGACACACACACAGAATGCATCCTGGGATGAGCCAGCCAGGAGTTAGGCTAAGTGTGGATCCTCAGACCAACAGGGCAAGACAAGGGACAGCGTGCAAGCGTTCCTGGGAATAAGAGTCCATTCTACAGAAAAAAGAACCTCTACAGAAATCTCTGATTACTTCCCAGCCTTCCGCCTGCCTGACCTCATCAGACCTCAATTCCAACACCACTGTTAATACGAACTCGGAGAGTTCACGTTAATAAAAATTAATTAGCGCTGAATTACTTCATTCCAATTAACAGTTCAACCACAAATAACTAGACGTGGCATGAGCACTTGAGTGGACCCCCCAAGTGCACAGTTGAGCAGCTCCACCAGGCACCAACTTGAGGCAGCCACAAAAGAGAGCCAGGATCACAAGGGCCTAAAACCAGAGTCCACGCTTCCCAGGTAACTGTGAAAGCCTATTCCCTGAACAGGAGGATTCCTGCCACTTCCTACATATCAAATGCGACCCTGGGCCACCTGGGTCTTCGTTTCCTGCATAGCACATCTACCCAGTGATGTGGCTTGTTCTGGAGGTGTTTCCAGGGACAGAGGTCCAGCCAGCCCTGGCTAGAACCAGGCTCATTCCTTCCTGGGCGTCGTGAGAGGGGACGCGCTGTGAGGTGCACGCACCTTCCCCGCCTCCCTTCTGGTAGGCGACACCTTCAGCATAGGACAGAGGAACGACCTGTCCACCGGGACCCAGGGCCTGCTCCCCACTGCCCCATGCCCTGGGGGGCTCTACCTTAGTCAAGCAGGGAAGCTTCTGACCACGGCTCAACTCACCCATTGGTGAAGCTGAGGCCCAAGAGGCAGAACCCACAGGAGTGAGGTGAGCAGCCATCAAAACCTCCCAGAACAGAAGGGGCCTCCACCCAGGACTTGCCCAACCTCAGGCCCAAGGCCCCTACTCAAACGTCCGTTGCTCTCTGCCTTCCACACAACTTACCTTCATAAGCTCGAAAAACTCTGCGGGGGAGGAGAGCACCCTGACGTGAGAGCTGCAGACTCCAAACTCGGGGACCAGGTTTCTGATCCACTGGAACCTGTGCACGCCCTCTGGACACAGGCTGCACGGCGGGGAGGTGACCTGGGGGATAGGTGGGGACAGCAGAGGAGCCAACAGCAGCCATGGTGACCTAAAGAGACAGGCAGAGGGTTAAACTTCTCAGACGTGTCCTCAGAAGTCTCTCTCAGCTACTGGGGAGAGGGGGGATTTTGTTTTTTGTCCATTTCAGATTTTCGAGGCCATTTTACGTGAGCCCAACTCAAACTCTGCACAGAGATTTCCCTTCAGCCCCTATTGGCTGGGCAGCTTGAGAAGGGCTGGTGCCTGTGGTCAAACCCCAAACTATACGTGGGATCCACACAACTCCAGATTTAGCACAGCCACAAGTCATCTCACAGAAGCTACTGCACAGCTGATACCGCCCTTCACAGCAGGGCCTGCAGGAGCCCAGGGGATCCCGAGCACGCGGGCAGGTCTGCTCTGCATGGTGGCTGCACCCGGACCACCAGCTGTGTGACCGAGGAGACAGACGGGGCTTTTACTTAGTGAAGGGCCCAGAAAGATAAAGTTTTCTCATGCATTTAATTAATGTACAAAATGTTTGCCCAAAAAATAAAATTTTAAAAATTAAATATTCTCAAGGGTAAAAAAAAAAGTTTTCTCTTAATACTCAAATAAGGAGAGAAAAACTGGAACAGGAAGAGGCTGGGAAAGAGGTCATCTCAAGAGGCGCCAGCAGTGACAACACTGTCCCTTCCCCGTCAGACACGTCCTCCTCGGGGGTCATACGCCCCTCTGGGCTGTTCAGGGCCGACCACAGGCAGCTGCACCCAGGCCCTGCAGTCCCCCGAGGCTGCGACTGCAGGACGCTGGTCCTGCCCACAGAGCCCTACCTCCCCGCCGCCCAGGACTGGAACACCTGCAGGGGCGGGGAGGAGCGCCTGCATGTCCAGGGCCGCGCACAAACCCAGTCCTGCTCTGAATTCCCAAAAACTGCAGCAGGAAAATCCTCCTCGGCGTGCAACCTTGTAGCGTGGCCCCAAGAGGGACTCGGGAAAGAACACTTCAACACCCCCAGGGCTGAAGGGCCACAGATTCCAGGAAGATGACCTCATGGACTTGCCTCACGATACACGGCTGATCTTCCCAGGGTTTGTCCACGGCCCACAGAGATGCCAGATGGCCCACAGCTGTGCTTCCCAGAAAGCCCACCGGGCTGTCCCAGCCCATTCAGTGCCAAGAAAACTTTAGTCAACAGGGAAGGTACCAGCGGCCGGATCCCACGAGGCCTCGGAGGGCAGCTGTCCCTCCGGCTGTCTAAAGGGGTGGTGACCGCACTCTCGCGCACACAGGGCTAAGTGTCTCTGGCCCCCAGGCAGCTCACAAATGAAAGGCCAAGATGTTAGACAAGGGACTGCTGCCTCAGTTTCCCAAACTGAGGGCTGCCGTCCTGCCGGGCTCAGCCACCTTCCGGGACAGCAGTGACCCTTCAGTCCAAAGGAAAACCAGAGACGACGGGAAGCTGCACACAACCCATCGACCTGAAGCCCCAAAGGGGCCTGAAGTCTGAGGTTCATTCATTAAACATAGTCCATCCAAGGTGGAAAACCCCATGGCCGCGTAGGATCAACGCTCCCGGCTTGCAGCTCGGCGTCACCCGCGCCCCAGGCCGTGCAGTATGTCCCCGTGCACCTCTCTGCGGGACAGGAGGCTCCATGGGCTCCCCGGAAGGAAGATGAGGAAACACCTCCTTGGCACACCCACCAGGAGAGGGCGAGAGCCAACCCAGGCCTCCAGCCAAGTCACCACGTGAGCGCCTCTCTGCACCATCGGGGGCACAAAGGAAGAGCCGGGCACGGCTCCTGCCTCCCACAAACCTGGTGGCCTCACACACTGGCTTACACATCTAAAATTATGGGAGGACAAGACTGGGGGAAAATGCTAAAATTGGGGTGTAGAAGCAAGCGCTGCGCCCCTAGCCCACTGGCTGTTGAAGCTTGCAGGCTATGTATGTCTTCCTACATACGGTGAAAGGGACACCCTTTGAGACCCCTGACCAAGGAAAGGCTCGGCTACTGACACACTGGGAACAGATGGACTACGGGCTCCAATTTACCTCTTCCGGAAAATTCCTCAGCATCTCCCCCACTGTACTCGGCCTCCCGGCCAGCCTCCACACCAAGCACGCTGCTCACTTCCTCACCAGCACCACTCACTGCCCAGCGCACTGCTGCCCAAACCGCCCCAGTCCCACGGGGTTCGTCTCTTTGGCATCAGCAACTACTGAGGGATGGGACTAGGAACGGAACTGGAACAAAAGGCTGTAGCATCTTTCCCTTCTCCACACTGTCTTCATCTTGAAAGCCTGAGAACTACACAACTGTTTCCAAACTTCCAAGATGAGAACAGATTGGAAAATGGGGCTCCCTGGGCCTAGCCCTGCTAGGAGCAGGCTTCTTTGAATCAGGAAAGGCAAATGAGGTGAGGGACAAATCACTCTCCTCCCACGAGGCCATATTTGGTCAGCGTCTTTGGTTTTTCCATGCCTTCCAACCCCAACACCTTCAGTTCTGTTTTGCTGTGTATTTCCCTTAAAATAAAGGTAATTTTTTTCAAAAAAAAGCTAAAATTATTAAATAAGGTCAGCAGACACAGTCTGTGTGCTCCGAGTGACGCCCAAGCTACAGAAAGGCTGGACCTCACCCTGCATACCTGGAAGACCCAGCCAGGGAGGAGAGGTGCGAGCAGAGCTGGCCAACGCCGCCGTTGCCAGGGAAAGCCCAGGAGGGTCTTGACAGGCAACCCAGGAGTCCACAAAGGTGCCAGCCCATGGCCACCTCTGTCCTGCCTGGGAGAGGCACTCCAGCAGGCTCAGGCGGGCCACCATGGGCAGGTGGGCCACCGTGGGCAGGTCTCACCCCTGCCACACAGCTCTCCCTAGGAATGTACAACCAGGGCCTCAGTCCAAGATCCGCTGAGGGCTTTTTCTGGTGGCTTCCTGTTTAATCTGTGGATGGGCAGGTTTGGTTTTGTTCGAGAGGATAGCAGCCAACTGGGTCCCAGGGATTCACCGTGGAGGAGGCCCAGCCTCTGGCAATTTTATAACCAATGAGGAAGGTGCCCAGGAAGGGAGCAAAGCGTCTTCTGAAGGCCCCACAGGGGCAGCACAGGCCTAGAGACCGCAGCCAGACTGGCGACAGTGGACCCTAACTGCCTCCGCAGGGCACAAGCAGCTCCCCGCCCCCATCTGAGCACCCACCGCTGGCTTCTCCAGAGCCCGCTCAGGGACCCATTTGTTTTCTTCCAGCTCGGCCAGAACCCCATGGCGGTCAGTTCCTGCTTTCCACCAGGGAACTCCTGAGAATTTTCTCAGAAAAGATTTCCCCTGTGCTAGCAGCAGCTACCGCATAGTCACCCTGGGCCCAGGGGCGAGCACCTGCACCAGGGCTTCCCCTCAGTCCAGGGAGCTTTCCTACGAAACCTCAACCCCGGGGATCCGAGGAGGCAGGGAGCTGGGCTCACTTCACCAAAAACACACAGCACACACAGTCCCACCTCTAGGCCTGGGCTCCCCGAGCCCTCCCCTTCTGGGTACCGCCTAGCGCCCCTTCCTAGTGACAGGGAGGAGCAAGTGCGGAGCTGGGGCTCTCTGTAGGCGCACTCTGTGCCCTGGCACAGCAGGGGCGGTTAGAGAGCAGCGCTTGGGCAAGAGCGGGGGCGCCCGGCATTCAAACTCCAAACAATACAAATTGACCCCCAGCCCGAAATTCTGAAGGCGCAATGGGACTGGTACCCTCTCCAAAGGGCGGGCTCCAGCACCCACAGGGTGCCTGGCCCTGGGTGAAGGTTCAGCCACATGTTTATGGCTTCCCTTGGAATCTGTAGACAAGTTCCCTGGCATGGGGAGTGGGCTAGGCCTAAGCACCAAGGACCCCTAACCTGAGGCCCCATTCCCCCACCCGGAGAGAGGTCTGGGGAACCGGTGTGAGAGGATGGAAGCTGGGTAGCAGGGCGGCTCTAGGGGCGCCCGGTGAGTACAAAGGAAGGGGGCATGCGGGGGGGGGAGGGGTTGGAGGCAGCTTCTTCCCACCTGCTGAGAGGGATCCAGGTCTGAGCTGCCTTGACTAAGGACAGTGTGTGAGATGCTCTTGTCCCTGAGCCCCTGAATTGGGGGCTGCCACCAGGCGAGGGCAGGGGAAGTCTAACTGACCCCACGTAGGACAATGCAGCCCGCCCCCCCACCGTCATGAGAGGCATGGGACAGCTGTGGGACGTGAGTTCAGAATAATCGTCCGGAGGAGCCCGGGAGAGTAGAGCAGCTGCAGAGATGCTGTGGACACACCTCCTTACAAGGGAGCCTCGGGGGACAGAAGGCAATTCCGCTCTTCCTGACAAGACAGGAATTTTCCAGTTCACCAAACTGAAGCTGACCGTGCCCCCTGGGAAAACTGGCCACACCTGGCATTTTTCCTTTGTCAGACAATGTCCCTGAAGGTCCCATAGAGCTCCCTCATGCTCAGTGCAAACACATGGGACACAGTAAACAGGCCAACCTCCTAGGGTTCTTCCAAAACAGGGTACGTAGGGCTCTGGGCGAAGGATATGGGGATGCTCGAAACTGTCCTCAGACAGTGACCTCAACTCCACGTGGGACAGTGCAGGAGTTCGAGTCTCTGTACCGAGCACGGGCACTAAGTGTCCCCACTGCAGGCCTAAAGATGTGGCCTAAAGCTCCGTGAGCCTGCAGGAGAAGACAAGATTCATGGTACAAGCTCTGTGGCCTGGGTCCCCTCCACACCCGTGCAAAATGACCGAAAAGGACAAGAGTTTTTAAAGGAAACTGAGCTCTCTGGATTGCCATGTTTTCAGAAACGACGTTTTTAAGAAAAACCCACCCCTCCCCCTCGGTCATACACATTTAAACATAAAAAAAAAAAAAAGTGAACTAATGAGAAAAGAGCTATAGTCATAACACTTCCTGAGAAAGGCTCGAGAAACTACCCACAGGTACCATACTTCCTGCAGCCAGGGCCAGCGGCCAGCGGCCAGCTGCGGGCAGCCCTTCCTGACTCACGCAAGACCCAGCCTGCCGGGGAAGCGATGGATTCCCGATTCCTGCCGATGACGACAGACCCAGGCCCGCCAAACCCCCACAGGAAGAGTGGCCCAAGGGACCTGCCTGCTAGCATCTGGCCACGCACTGACCAGATGACTCCTCCTGACTTGCCCAGAAGAAAGTCACTTATATCTTGGGGTCCGGAAGCTAGAACATGACCCACACCACACCAAGGGTTGGCCAAACACACGAGGCTTATCGAAGCGCTGGACAAGACCCGATAACGTGTTCTAGGAATCCAAACAGTTTCATCCAGCCTGACTTCCCAGCAGCCTGGAAAATGACTCGCTTACGTCCATCAGAGCATGTGTTTACAGGGGGATTATCTATCGGAACACTTCCACACCAGGCTGGTTTCTGTCCATCCACACAACTGAGGGAGCCCAGCCTGATCCACCACCGGCGGCAAAAGTGCTCAGGGATGACGCATGCTGACGTTAACAAAGCTACAATTTAAAAGCCAGTCTGTTACAAATCTTACTTTAATTCCATGCAATATCAAATTTAAATTACTTGGGGGAAGTCATGCTTTAATTCGAAATCTCCCCCTCCTACTCCTCCTACTGCTATAAATAGACAGAGAAAGACCCTACTAAACTCTAATGAGTAAGGAGGACTGGGTCCCGACATCACACGGTTCAAAGAAACAGTCATTTCTGGAACTTGGTGGTCCCCCAGGACAGAAACCACTACCAAGTTGAACAAGAGTTTGCTGATCTGCTGTCACGAGGTAAGAAAATCTTACCTTGTGAAAGAGGAGTCTACTAGTTATGTCATATAACTCAGAGAAGTTAGCCCCCCTCACCCGCCCCAACACACACACACACACCTAGAATAGAGAAAATAGGGCCTGAGTTTCAAAAACAAAGACTTTTTTTGCACACATAGCTCAAACTGAAAATAGTGTTTTTTTTAAAGGAGTCCACAGAAAAAATATTTCCTTGTACAGCAGGCAAGCTCAAGATGATGAACTGACGCCCTCTTGACACATCTCCCACTAGGTGTCATTTACTCCAAATAACAAGTCAATTCTGTGTAGTCTGATGACTAAAAAAAACTATCTGAAGGTTCTGTCTCCCCCTCCTGAGCTCCAGACCTGCCACAGTCAACCGCACCCTGAACACCTCCACATGGATGCACCTGGGTACCAATTAACATGCCCCAAACTCTCCCTCTATCATCCCCCAAACCCAGTCCTTCCTTCTCCCCGTTTTAGTGAGGCATGCACCATCCACGCAGTCACCCAAGTCAGAAACATGACCCACCTCCTCAGCACCCCCACACACAACCCCCCATCAGAACTAACTCTAAGGCAGCCCTCTCTTCTATTCCCACTGTCCCTGACTTCATATAAACCCCAGCATCTTAGGCCTACCCCATCAGCAAAAGAATCCACACAGAACCTCAGAGCTTGCCTCCCCGGGTTCTGACCCAGAGGTCTGGCCTACTCCCAGCTCCTGTCCCCTTCCAATACCCCCTTGACAGCCCCTGGAAATGATCTGAGAACCTGTGGAACCTCAGCACTGGATTCCCTGCTGCTATGACCATCAGCCCACGTGACTCACTATCCTTCCTGAAACCGCCGTTCCCCCATTCTTCACCTGGCCTACTCCAACCCTCCAAAACACGGCTCTGAGATCACCACCACCAGGAAGCCTTCTGTGACCTCCAGGTGCGCCTCTTAGGTACATGACTTTTTCTCCCCCACTTTGCTATTATTTGTTGCTTATGAGTCCGAGCATCTTATGTCTTATCTTTGGTTCCTCAGTTACCCAGCCCAGCCTAGCAGTGCTCTATACACGCACACTCACTAAATGAACCCAGCAGTCCATCACAAAGAGTCAGGGAAAACAACAATACTTCTGGATCACTAATTATCAGAAGCGCTAAGCAGAGTTCTCTGTCACTATGGCTGTCTCTGTAACTGAAAGGAAACCGCTGCCGTAAAAGAACCGCTCCCTCTTACCCCCGTCTCTCTAGCTTCGAGGATTCGGCGGGTACTCCAACAGTTGAGTCAGACTGGCGAGCTCGAGTCTAAAATAATTTCAGTCCCTGACTACACAGAACTATTATCAGTGAATCAATGATCAGAGTTACAAGAAACCACACCTTTCGGGGAATAAGGAATTGGGAGGTGCAACTGAACAAGGCAGAAGAAACGAAAGCCAGTGGCCAAGGGTGAGCGGCCATGCAGACGTGAGTAACCCCAAACACCAAGGCCACAAAGAATCGGAAAAAAAAAAAATCTGCAAACTGAAAGAGGCAAACAGTCAGAAACCTACAGCATGGCAACGATGCCGGTCAAAGCATAGGCGTTATTTCCAAGGATTATAACGCACAAGTTTCTGACCCTTGTGTTTCTGTGTTGGTGATTTAACTGAGTTTCCGGTGTAATTGTTGACCCGGAAAAACAACTACAATCTCCCTCGGCTTAATCACGAAGAACCACGGGACCACTGCATCCACTGGCACTGTTTCCAAAAAGGGCTTTGGGAAGTCAGTTTAGGCTGTTCCCACATGTGGACACAATGCCCACCTGGCTGGCCCTCCCCTCCCTAAAAGAACCACTCGGGAAGAATGTGTGTGCTTTTTTAGAGGAATCTGTGAAGATTGCCCAACAGCCGCCAGTAACCAATTCCAATGTTAAACAATGACTAATGAAGTGGGTTTCGTATAGTTTAAACACGTACAGGGAAATGACAAAATCGCCTAAATATCTCCGAGGAGAGAACGTTTCTTGAAACTTTAAATTTCTCGGTAGTTGGAAGCCAGGGCGTGGAAGTCACCTGACTTCACTGCCCCCCGGTCTTTGCTAAGAACCGGTTACAGAAAGTGGGGAGGCCACGCCCACTCCCTCCGGGCGCCCCGACGCGAGCCTGCGAAAGCCTTTCTCATCAGCAGGCTTCCAAGAGTTCTGCCCGGCCCTACCCCCGCCAAGTTCCCCTAAATCAAACCCCTCGTAGCTGAAAAACCTTCCACCGCCGACCAAAGAGGAGGCAAGTTCCTCTCCCCGCCCCGAAGCCGCGCACGGGACGGGACCGCAGACCCAGGTGCCCAAGAGGCACCGGCGCCAAGCTAAGGCCAGGCGCAGGACGCGGCGCTCGGTCCCCCTCCCCTCCCCTAAGGATCAAGTGTGAGGCTCGAATCTAATTTTTTTTTTTTTAAGTATTTGAACACAAGAGGGTTCTTTTTATAACCTGGGCCGCCGCGGGCCTCTCGGGTCGCCGTGTCCTGGGCAAATGTTGACTTTGGAAGCCCACGGCCCGGGCGAGCGGCGTCCAGGCCACTTCAGGGTTTCGAAACGCACTCCAGGGCCTTTCCAGGGCGCCGGCGCTTTGAAAAGCGTTTGCAAAAAGGGGGCTCGAGTGGTTCCCCTTCCCCGC